CGTCTATCTTTATCTCTCTATCTGTGCTCTTTTTCTTCCGTCCTCGTTTCTCCAATGTCCACTTTTTTTTCTTTTTTAAATTCGAAATACCTTTCTAATAAATCACGTCACGAGAAATATAGAAGCACGCGCGCCATGCACACAGTCGATTTTCATTTCGCGTATTGTTTGTAGTCACGCCGCCCCTCGTATTTATGCAAGATTTACGGTTCGATCAAATGTACAAACTCCGGGCCGCAACGTCGTCGTGAGGAATCCGATCGTACGAACATCGACACCCCTCTGACTTTTTACGCTTGCACGCGTGCTAGATTGTTTCACTTTGCACGATTGAACAGAGAACAGAAATGATTTGACAATGAAATAACATTGCGTAATTTGGAAGTTGCATGTACAGTTGCGCTCGAAAATATTCCGACACTGACAGGGGAACATCCCGACGTGATAATCACCAATTTTAACGAAACTTTGGCGTATGTAGTTTCGAAAAAAATATTCGACGCGTACTGTTTTATATCGGCAATCGTCCACATTGAACTGGTGAAAATCGCCCTCAAACATAGGGCCAATAAAAATAAAAAGTAACAAAAAATGTTCAATTGTTGTCGTTGAAAAATTCAAGATTCGTCAATTTATACTATTCCTCTATTTTTAATAGTTTTCGAGATATTAGATTAAATGTACAGTAGTGCACACATAAGCGTCCGTCGCTATCCCCACCAATTCTTGGAAATGGAACATCGGAGTGGAGTTCAAGCGTGCCAAGTGAAACAAAGTAATTCGATATCGACACTTGATGTATCGGTATACCTCTCAGCACGTCTCCTCTCTTTTCGTTAGTTAAATTCGCAGAAGTCACCTCGCGGTTCCGACTGCGGACGCTTATGTGTGCACTACCGTATTTACTACTTCCAACTTTGAGGGCGATTTTCACCTCTTCACGGTGGACGATATAAAAAATACGTGTCGAATAGTTTTTCGTGTACTACCATGTACCAAAGTTTCATCAGTATCGGTGTTTATCACTTCGGGATTTTCCCTTGTAAGTTTGGCTGCCCACTGATGTATCTCGGGTTATTATGAACGAATTGTGTTGATGCTTTTTTGTTGTGAAAGCTCGTTTATTGTACTTTAGAATTACCTATTTTCAGTTTAATGCAGTTTTATATATGCCATTGTAATATTATAATACTCATGTTGTTCTAAATATTAATATTATACTATTCGTATTACTTCAAATATTATGAATATTTTTGCCTGCGCCATGTGTAATAATTGGCTATTCTATGTCCGATATTTTTGAGAGTAACTTTTATTTATATTTTTAAAGAGTATCTATCATCGAGCAATCTATACTAATTATTATATTTCTCTATTTTTTTCTATTTTTCTTTATTTTTCACGTCAAAGTGATTTCTTCGTATGTTATAATATTATTTATCTTCCTATGTCTCGTGTACAAATGAAAATTTGGTTATAAAGTTTTCATTTAAAGAATTATTATACATTTAAATAATAGTTAAGGACGAAATTTACAGAAAAAAAAGGAGATTGAGAACATTGGACGAGCTGAATAAGGTTTCAAATGTATTGAGATACTTAATTTGTAATAAACAATTAAAAAAAAAATGTTTGTCTTTAACTCAGTTTAAATTCAAAATTGCATAGGTACATATATCGATCCTTTTACATATTAGTGAACGTAAAATTGTAAAAGGAATTCGTGGCGCAAAGTATTTGAAAATTTGCTATTAATATTGAACAATAATTCGTAAATTTTAGAAAGCTCGATGAATCGTTATTTTGTAGAGGCTTCTCTTGTTATGGGCTTGTACTGAAATGTACTTAGGAACATGAATGCTCGCATAGGAGGGGAGTGACGCGAAATGACATTAAATGTCACACTTGTGCTCTCTTGTTCGAGTGATTTGTTCAAAAGTTTAACACGATATCCTTATAGAGTTTAGAGTGCATTGTTAATGTCTGTGATACTAAATAGAAGAATATAATATTATCAGAGAAATAAATTAAACGTATATTATTTTGTTTTTAAAAATACTCTGATCTACGCAATGGTTAGGAATTCGTTTGATTTACAATGTTGTATTGAAAATAGTAAATTCTTTTACTCTCGAAGATAAAGAAATTTTATACAAAAAATGCCTTTTTTTAAGTATGCGATCGAAAACATGTCTCGAGTAAATCTATATTTATTTCATAATTTTATTTGTTAATACAGGCTAGTTTCACTAAATGATTTATGTACTTTCCTCACACACGGTTAAAAGAGAAATAATCAGAAGATTAAAATAATTTAGACGAGTCTGAACGATTTAAGAACCAAAAAACTAACAAGAATAACTTTATTCGCCATCTGTGCAAAGAAAAAATTCTTTGAATAATGTTCAAACACACTTTATTATTTTCAGCAATTGTGTTAACAGTTAAAAATTAAAGATATCAGACAAATATATAGTGATTGTATGTACAAGTAGTGTTCTTCTCATTTTGATGAATTATCACACTAATGCAAAAGTACAGATATTTAACTTAAGTATTATGGTTAGCGTTTCCCAGAAATCCTGTATCGTGGCAAATAATAACAAAATTTGAACGTGAAGCTTGTCATACCACCAGAAGTATAAAAATGAACGAAACAGTGGAAAATAGGATTTCTCAGTTTCGTTTGTCCGATCTATCACAAAATTATCAGCAGTTATGAACAATTCAAAAGTATAAAATATCATGGAAAAAGTTGCGGGTATTAATCTAGTATCAGAAATGAAAGTATCAAAGATCTAATATATCACCGATATAAATTTTTATTTGCATGTGAGGAAAAAACTTGTGGTTAATTGCAAATTTGCATGTTTTTATCGGAAAAGTAGGAATGAACAATTATCACAAATAGTTTGCTTGGTGATAATAGAATGATGCAGTAGTAGGATGTAACAATACCAGTGGTAAATGAAGAAGGTACTTTCGAAATGATAGATACACGAATACGTAAATTCACAGCGTCAAAGGGGATTAACAGTTAATTTTATCGTAGCAATTAAATCTTGTCGTAACGACGACGAGAAAAAAGCTCCCAAAAAATAAAACAAGCACAAAAAAGAAGTTACGATTCAATTTCAAACGATCCAAAGCACCATCCACAAAAATGGTGTCCACTCGCGGACATGTACCGAAAGAGAGAAAGAGAGAGAGAGAGAGAGGCGACAGGCAAAAGTTCACAGTTTTTCGGCGCGCACGGTCACTGAGAGAAAACCTTTATTGCTGTGCATTGTTACGCGGCACGCTTCATTCCGACCGGCAGAGCTTGTAATGGCTCTTCCATTACGGATTTATGAACGAAATTGAAAAGGCCTGTAGCGCGGCGGGACGGTGGACAGAGAAGGGGTGGAAAGGGGACGACACGCCAATTTTCCGGATATCACGGGAACGAAGCGAACGCGCTCGCTTCGTCAGCGATTTTCGACAGCGTGCGTGGGGGTGGCGCGCTGATTAAAACGACGGCTTTCCGATAAAAGCGCAAAATTCCCGCGAATTTCGCGACCCAAAACCAGCCTTGTTTCTGCAATCAACTGCATTGCCGTTTCTCTCGATAGCGATCGATGACATCAACCGCGCTGGGGTCAGGCTAAAACAGCGACAGAACATACGAGAGGGATGAGGGACAAACGCCAAGGGGAGGGGTAGAAGCTGGGAAATTCAACAGCGAGAACGAAATTATGCAAGCAACGACGAGAAATTGTTTATCGATTTAATTCTATTCGGTCCGGTTCGATCTGTGTGTGATGGTACATCGGGGTGAGATTTGGAGTCGTTGGTCGATTGTTGTCAACTTTGTTTTCTTTTCTTTAGAAGATTTCTGTTATATTCTGTTTTGCTTGCCAATATTTTTCTTTCTCTTTTTTATCTCAGAAAAATTTAGTTAACGGGTTTATATTTTCTTGTCTGATTTTTATCGAATCATTTTATCGGAGGACACAAAAGAGACAGAGAGAGAGTGTGTGTGTTTTGAAGAGAGATAATTTTATGGTGTTTGTCTTTTTTTTTTAATTTGTTCTAGGATTCCCACAGTCGCTTATTATTTTCTTCAAACTACACTTTTCTCGGGAAAATATTCGAAAAATGTGGCGTTAGTTTTGTATTAGAAAGAAAGTATGTCAAGTGTTTCTATCATTTTTACTATGAAATTGTTCCAAATTACAACATGTAGAGAAAGTGTAACTGTTCGAATCTATCGGTAGCAGTAAATTTTATAAATAATCTTGCATCTGGAAAAAAGGAACTCATTCGTTAGCATCGAATACCTGGATATCCGTTCAGTTCGTCTAAACCGATATATCATTTCCTTTTCTATTTTAGTCTATTTTATTATCTGATCTACTATACAAATGTTTATTAATTCATGTTTAGTTAAACGAGGACATTTAAATTAAAAGAAATATAAAACTAAAATTAAATTGGCAGAAACGAGTCAGAAGATAGAAACACGAACAGGAACCTGAAATGTTTGTTTAAATTTGCCAGAAATTACCAACGATGCCTAACCTAAACATTTCAATTGAAACAATCAAAATAACGTTCACTTCGTAAAACATACAAGATTTAAAAAAAAAATTCTTTAGTAATATTTTCTAAAAATTTCCTTCATTTAAATGAAACAACTCCAAATAGTATACAAGCCTCCCTTATATCGCTTCTTTCGCAAAAAGAGAAAACTGTTCTTCCAATCAAAAGCCAAACGATCATAATTGTCCCTGACGAGACAATGCCATCATAAACAATCATCGACAAACACGATAACGCTTAACACAAACCATCAATACCATTAATAAAATAAAATAACAGACAGTTACATCGAATAACATATAACAAACTACCGTAATAGTTGAAAAAAGAAAAAAAGAAAAAGAAAAGAACAATCATACTATCGAGGAGGGTTCCTCGTCATTCGACAATACGTTGTAATCGGTTTGACGATTTGTTAGGATCATGCCGCCAAGGAGAAGGCGCTCCAGACAATGTCGAGCATGTCGAGCGCCCAGATAGTATCAGCTGGGAGTGCGATACACAACAAGATGCCCCCCGCCCTCGTGGGGCCCCTTGCCCTTCATGCTTCCACCCCTGTCTCCTATCCCGGAGCGGTAAGTCCCGATCACGGAGAACCCCTTGAAACTTTTTTTAGCGGGCTGTTTTCTTTTTTTATTACAAACAAAAACAAAAAAGGAAAAAAAAAAGGAGCCACGAGCTTTGGAGTGGAGACGACGAGACACGCGCTACTCGACACGATACGTAAAGAGAGAAAGATTTCAGTTAAAAACGACGGTTCTCGTGTAACACTGCGACTTTTCGGATCGTGAACAATCTTTAATGGAGAGATTAACGTATTAACGAAAGAAGAATAGGCGATTAAAGTGAAACAGTTGATCGTAAACAGAAAGAAGCATATTCATGTTCGTCAACGTCGCTCGCGATCTCTCTTTGATCTCCTTGTTGGCTCCCCGTAAAACGCTTTTTTTCGCTGGACGAACAATCAGTGTCTCGTCGTCTTGAGTATGTGAACTTTGATCGCTACACTTGTACACTGTCTGTTTGGCTTCTTCTTTGATGTTCGTATCTCTGTTTTCTTTTCACTCTAAGAGCCGTTACGCACTGTCGACCAGGTCGTCGGCAACCACTGGGTTCAAGAGAAATATACGAGCTCGTGCGCACTTGGTCGCGGCGACCACGAAAACACGAGCGACGCACGGGCAACTCGCTGGTCGCAGCGGCCGATGAAGTGTGCGTTGAATCAAATGCACGCGTTCACACGTCAGGCAACATTCTTGCATACCAGACGTAACGATGAGCTTCTGTACGGAAAAATTGATGCAGCGACACTGACAACTTTCGAGTTACTGTGTTCGGTCGCCGAGTTTGGTTACTTGGTTTTTGGTCTTTCGTCGACCAAGTCGCCGGCGACTGGTCGACAGTGCGTAACGGCTCTAACAGCTTCGCCCCGTAACCGTCTCTAATCCGCTTACGAGAGGCCGATCACAGTCGTGTGGTTTGTCTGAACTGACCTAGGCGTTTTACTCGCGCGCGAACTCTGTTGTTGCTTTTGCAAAGTTTCGCTGCGCGAACAATAAATGGCGGAAGAAAGATTTTACGCGTGTTGCTTTTTACTCGTTGATTTTTTTCCTCGATCGAAACGTTCAAAGGCATCGATATCTCTGGACGATGCGCATTTCAAAATCGTTTTTTTTATTAAACGTTAACGCGAATCTTCTTTCGTTTTATAAGTATAAAATTCGCATAATAATTCGTTTTCTCACGTAGCTCTAGTCTATTCGGCGCAAATGTTTCTTTTTTTTTTTTCAGAGTAGGTACTAGCAACTAGTGAGACAAGAAATTACAGGCGATGCGTTCGACTTTTTTTCCTCCTTTTTAATTCATTTCGTTCGATTTCTTTTATTCTTCATTCTCACACAAACATACACGCGCGCGCACGCACACATATAGACACACATGTACAGTTCCTGTTTTATTTTCTCATCCTCACTTTGTCAGCTTCTGTTCTCCTCTTCTTGGTCGCGTTGCGCGCCTTAAATCGTCGCCCAGAGAAAGAAGAAGACCAGAGTAAAAGAGAAGCGTTCCTACGGCTTCGAGACTAAAGTCCCCCGTCTTTTTCTGTTTCTCTTGTTTTTCTTTTCTTCCTTTTTAATTCTCGCTGTCTATTTGTCTTTTTCTCTCTTTCTCTTAATCACGGAAGCTTACGCGACAAAAACTAACCATCCTCATAAAACAATACCCCCTTGCTCTCTGCTGCTACGCCCCTGGGGGCCCTTGTTGTGTATTGTTCAATTTGTCCGTCGCTCTATCTTTTTTTACATATGTATCACCTGGGCATATATACACACGTACATACACGGGTTTGCATATTGTATACGGAATTTGTTGGACATTAATTACACGTTGTGAAGCGTCGTTGTGGCTTACCAAACCTGTCTTTCTCTCTTCACGTAATACGACTACTATTGTTTTCTTTCGCTATTGTGTTTGTACGTTTTTCTTTTATTCTATTGTATTTTTTTTTGTTCTTTTGTTTTCTTGTAATTTACACATGTGTTTACCTATCGTGTATTCTTGTTGTCGTTTTTGTTTAATTTTTCTTCACTCCGTTCGGAAGCGTCACGATCGTTCCTCGCTCGAGGGCTCGAAGGCTCACGGAGGAAATTGAAATCTCTTCCTCGTACTATTTTAATCTCCTTCGTTTACAAAATTGTTTACTCAACACGTTCAGTAAAGCTTGTTTTGTTGAATTGTAAATCACATATTTTTCAAAGGCAATCATTGACTGGTGACTGTAGTGGGTGTGAAATTACTCGTATGTGTATTTATGCGTTACTCTTTCTATTTTAGCATTTATATCTGTTCCTAGAAACATGATCTCCTTGCAGCATGTGATGGAAATGCAAAACGCGGTACGAAAATAACTTACTGACGTAGTATTCAAAACGCATTATTGATCAGATGAAAGTTGTAACAAAGTTCCAGTGTGGCCACCAATTTCTTTCGTGTGGTATTCGGTTCACGGTAAAAGTGACCAATGCATCTGTTGTATAATGCGTGTAATAACATTTCTACTTGAACCAGACTTCGTTCTTCTGCCATTTATATAAACTGTGATTATTTAAATTCAAGCATGTTCAATGAAAATATTTGAATATATTCATGACAAACTCTTTACTACTTAAACAGTGAGAACAGTTGAACGTATTAAGAGAAATACAGTACTTCAGTTCGACCACAGAAATGTATTATAGAAATGAAACACAGAGATTAAATGAAAAAATGCTTCACAGAGAAAGATATACAATGGGGCACCAACTATGTCCACCTTGAATATCTCCGTTATTTGCAATAATATGAAAAGATGTTATATATAAAACTTGCACGGTATAGAGGGGGACATATTGCGATGCAAACATTTTTTGCGTGGGTGGAGGTATAGAGGAGATTTCAAGGTCATCTCTATTTTCTTAAAAG